CCAAACGGCACGGAATTCTTCACGGAATGTGTTCAGGCGAGCTTTCAAGTTGGGTGTTCTAAAGCTTGCGTGAATGAGAGTGGCTGTGGCAGAGAAAGCAAGTTAGAGCCAATAAATTCAGAGGGCAAAGACGCATAAGCAAATGAAATTTTGAGTTACCAAGAAGTCCAATAGCAAGGGCCCATAAGACAATGAGAATACCACATGAAGCAAACCAGAGGAAGAAACTCACTGCAAAGCGGAATAAGAAGGCATAGTTACTAACATGTGACAGTACATCCTCCAAGATGCAAAGTAAACAATATGTGAAAGAGAAGATATCTCTTACTTGCAGAAAATACCAAGACGAATACCCATCGATGCTGTCCACATATATGTATTGCTCGTTTTGCAGATGGGCGCCCTCGAATAACAGGTCTAAAATTACACGCCCATGTAAGATCGTCCTGCAAAGCTACAATAACAAACATTGACGATATTAAAAAGATGACAGGACAATGATGAAAAACAAAAGAATAATGGTTCACGACTATTCAAAACATGATCAGTCATCCATCATAACAAAACCAGTTCTCATCCCAGAAAAAGTATTAGGAAGGCGGATGACACACTACACTCGTGATTCCAGATTTCCGGTTCTTCCCAACACATACTTTCCTGGAAAAAAACCAAAACCAAAATGACAAACCCAAAAAAAAAGGCAAAAGGCAAAAATCTCCCAAAAATAAAATGAACAATACCAAATTGCAATCGGTCTTCGACATCGCTATCTCCTTCCTTCTATTCTCCTCCGCCGTCCCCACCGACTTCCGAATTCCGCCGCCGACGGAGCCGAAAATAATCTGGCATAATGAATGTAAGATATATAAACTCAGTTATTCCTCATTCTGCATAATGAATGTAAGATATATAAACTCAGTTAACGAATTGCAATCAGCAGCTTATTTTCCTCATATATCATTGTGCCATGCCTTATGTTTCAGATCAAACAAATAGAACTTCCTTGGATATGACAAAAACAATTTCAAGGCATCATCGACATACAAAAGGTTAAAAAAGGGATACATTCATGCCCAGTAACATAATGTATCAAATTTTCCAAGCATCTGCAGTTAACATCTTCAAATTCAAGGTTCAGTAAAAATTAGGGTTCCATCAACTTAAACCAATAGCTATATAATCATGAAAGCAATAGCACAGATTACAAAAATTCTGAAAAAAAAAAAAAAAGAAAAAGAAAAAACATTCATGTTCAGCAGAGAACGAAATTTAAGATTCAGGGTATCAATAAAAATCAAATCTTCATTCATTACCTTCTACAAAAAAGTTCTAATCGAAGAGGTTCGGTAAAAATTAGGGTTCCATCAACTTAAACCACTGGCTACAACGTCAGAAAAGCAAAAACACAGATTACAAAAATTCGAAAAATAAAATAATAATAAAAAAAACAAAAACAAAACGAAACGAAAACATTCCCGATTCCAGAGAACGAAATTAAGATTCAGAGTATAAATAAAAGTCAAATCTTCATTCATTACCTTCGACAACAACGTCCTAATCGAAGAAGGTATCGGCAAGAAACTAACAATCAATTGAGTCAGAAATCCTCCTTGGTGCTAAATATGGCTTTATGGACTTGAAGTGAAGAAGAAATTAGGGTTTCCGCCGCCGACGGAGCCGAATTCCGCCGTTCCAGAACCGAATATCCCAACGTCGGTCTTCAAGGACCTGTAGCTAAACTTAAGAGCGGGCACGACCCGAGCCTGACTTCGAAGTTGATGGAGAGCTTGTGGCGATCACCGACGGCAATCTCGGCGGAAGAGAGGTGGACGCCGATGATGGTTAGGGGAATCGCCTTGAGATTTGGGGGTTTCGGGGTCCTCCCGAGGAATGAGCGAAGATTTGGGGATTTTTTCTCGAGATAATAGCGTGGAGATGTATACTTAATTAAGATGAGATAAGATTACAAATAATCGGTAGGCATATAGGGAAAACAATGAAATAAATCTTCCAAAAAATTCAAATTGAATATGAGCGGGCTTATTTCATTTTTTCGCCAAAAAATCCTGCTGATTACATTAAAAATTTAGGCGGGAACTGAAATCTTTTTTTTTCCTGATTTTCCACATGATTTTTTCAAAAAACTATCATTCCCTCTTTATATATTAATAGATTACATGAGTACAAACTTTTTTTAAAAAGCTCGAGCTTATCTCATAAGCTTCCTTAGGTAACTTTTCAAATAACCTCAATGAAATTTTTATTTCAGCTAGTTTATCAATTAATTTTACTAAACACTAAGGGCTTGTTTGTATACAAATATATCCGTTCAAAATGAGTTTTTTTTTTTTTTTTTTTTTTATTAACCAGAGTTAATTTTGAAAAAAAAAATAATATGGTTAGTTGTTAGTGAAATTTTAATTTTATATTAAAATAGTATCTATATATATAATAAGAATTAATATTTATCAATTTTAGAAACTTTTACCCGCCATAATCATTAAATATTTGCCAAATATAGTATTTTTTTTACAATTATAAATCGGAGCATTAATTGTTATGTAACGATATGTTTATATTTTTCCTGTTTTTTAGGTAGATAAAGCCGTGTAGATTTGTTAACCTGTTGAAAAAACTATTTTGATTCATATGAAAGATTTGAATTAAAACTTCATTTTCGGAATGAAATTGAAAGAACCACTTTCTATATCCGTTTTATTTCGCCATCACTTTAAAAGAGAAAAAAAATTATATTAATATAAATTTATATATATATATAATAAGAATAACCCTTTATTAAAAATAGTAACAAAAAGTTTATATTAATATAAATTTATATATATATATATATATATATATATATATATTAAGGCATACCTTTTTTGGAAATATTATAAATATATGCAATAATGTTTCTATATACACTTTTTCAAATAAGATCAAATCAGATATGATCAAAAATATTATTTCCTTAAACAATTTTATTAATATGTGCAATAATTTTATACATTTTTTTTACATCTAGAAAGACTTCTACATTTTTTAAATGTCACATTGGATTTTTGGAGCTAGGTGGCAATGAAATAGAGCAATCCATTTACAATTGGAGATGTTCTAAAACAATTATTTTCTCTTATATCGATGAATAAATATATATACTAAAATCAAATCTATATTATTATAAATTATAAATGTGTTAGTGAGATATATATTAATTATTTTACAAATTATCCCTAACATGCTCAATATGTTCTGGCTAAAAAAACAACGTTGATTAAAAGAGGGTGAAAAATATATTATAATCCTATTGTAAAAGAGGTGGAAAATAGATTATAATCCTATTGTTTTCTACATTTTAACGTTGATTAAAAGAGGTGGAAAATAAATGATATAGAGCTTGTGAAAATAACTTATTTAATATCTTTCGATGCACGGGGTACGTACTAGTTTAAAATAAAATAACTAAAGTTGATTTGATGTAAAAGTATGCGAAAGATGATATGATGTGATAGTTAGTTAAATTATATGAGTGGATGAATCTCTCCTACATATTAATTCAAAACGTGTTGAACCTAAGTGGCAGGCTCCACAATTTGGATGCTGACTTGGCAAATATATGTGCTTTGTAATTTGGTTTTTATAAAAAATTATGGTTTGAAGTTAGGCTTTTTTTTTGTTTTAATATTCAAATCTTATAATCAAAATAGGAAGATTACATCCAAATGTTCAAATCGATCAATACTGAGAGGACGAACACCACATGTGCCGCATAGCCCCAACAAATAACTAGATGAAATACCTACTAAAATACCAACATCAAATATCCTATGCAAATCACACAGAAACTAATAAACCATAAGCAGCCAAAGGGAAAATACAGAATCAGATATGTAGCTCACTATAGACTCCAACTTCATCACCAAACAGAAACAGGTACAAATAAAAACCAAAACCTCTGACTCTAGACCTAGTCTTGTCCTTTGAACCTCTCCTGCTCATTTTTCATTTCTGCTATTGAAGTCTGACCAGTCCCTACAAGCTGCCTTTATGATCCTAGTTTCTGTTTGCCATTTCTTTTCAAAAACCCACAAATTCCGAGCTCGCAATAACCACCATAATATATACGTTGAGAGTTGGATTCTATCTTCTGCAATATCATCCCGAGGCATTGAACTTATCCACCACCACCACTCTTTGACAGATAAATTCTTCTCTTTGATTATGTTCCACTGCACAGGGGCTAACTTCCAGGTTCTACTAGCTCTATTGCATTGGAAAAGGGCATGCTCATGTGTCTTCTCTGCCTCACCACATATAGGACATTCATTATGTTAGAGTAGGGTACCCGGCGTTCCAATCTAATTGGACGTATTCTACTTGTAAATACAGTCTATTGGAATTATATTATGAATAAGGCATTTCTTTATCTTAAGAGAAAGCATTTATCTTATAATTGCACTTAAGATAAAATCCCTAGATTACTTATGGTTATAAGGTATGGTTGCGCATAGAGATGGTGATCATGGAACATACCTTGAAAGCCGTGATCTTAAATACAATTCCAAGTCGATGAATGTTTCGAGATGGGATATCGAATAATCCATAAAAGACTTGCACATAGTTTGTATGACAAGAATGTTGCATTCCATCAACATTAACGTAAGACGTAAGTACATTTATGTGGGTGCTTGTTAGAGAACAAGTTCACTGAACATGACCGTATGAAAATTCTTAATGAAGAATTTATTCAGTCGAATAAGAATTTTCATGTTACAATAGTACATGACTAATCCTAAGACTTGAGGCACAATGGTAACTTTGTGCATATTACATTCTACTTTGATTTATCCTTTTGGTAGCTAGCACTATCGTTTAAAGGGAAAAGTTGGGTATTATGTTAATATGTATGGAAGTTTATTAGTGGCCAATAAAGGATTCGACACTTATGAAGATAAGTGAATTTCCTATGTGTTTCATAGTTATTAATCCAAAGTCCTTGGCCAAGGCAGAGATGAATAGTGATTCATAACCGGGTTAATAAACATGAAATAGAATCATAGTTATTAAGTCAATTTGGGTTTCGACAAAATCATACCCAAGACTTAATCGGGAAATTAGATGTCGAAAGGATTTTACATGTATGGAGTTGTAATCGGAATAGGTTTACTCGCTATTCACTTAATACTAGATTCATGCTACTTGCTAGGTGTTACCATGATATGTGGGTTCATAAATTAAAGGGTTAATTCATGAATAAGAGTTAATAAGATTTAACTCAAATTACAAAGTGTTGTAAACCCACTACTAGTATTAAGGTGAACCTAAAAGGTCACACTAATTATGAACAAAGGTAAAGATTGTATTTCTAATGGTTAGAATTAATTGATAAATATCTAATTTGATTAGATATCAATTAAAGGAATATATTAATCAATAAGATTGATTAATTACATTTTGGATATTACTTTAGTAATTAAGGTAATTACTAAATTAATAAAGTTGAATTTTAAAATAGGATTTTAAATTTCAAAAATCCAAAATAATAATAATATGATTATTATAATATTGGGAAAATGATATAATAATAAAGTCTTGAGAAAGATTCTCAAGATTTATTATCCAATTATTATTTATATCTTTAAATATGATTTAAGGATTAAAATAATAAATATGATTATAATAAAATGGTTGTTGATGGTTGTTTGAACTACTTAACATATCTTATTATTTTCAAAGTCAAAAGTTAGTAAATACTATTTAAATAAAATTTGATTTTATTTAATATTACTAAATGTTGATTATTTTATGCTAAAATGTTTAGTATAAATATGTGCAAAATGGTTTTGCATTTAAGTGAAGTTTTTGATCCTAAATTTCTAAGTGTTAGAAAGAGAAGAAAGTGTTCTTCATAAAACTTCAAGAAAGAGTTCTTAAAATTCCCAAATAAAATTCATAAATATTCCTATACAAGAAAACCGAGTCTTTTCTACTAGCGAAGGAAAGTCGTCGGAACCGGGCTTCATAGGGTGGATACGTTTAGAGGGAAGACACTTGGATTCCTCTAGCGAGTAACCTCAAGTCGTTGAAGTTACAACCGGGAACCGATTCCCTCATCCATCATCAATAGTGAAGGAGTTCAAGACATTCGGTAAATATTTTTACTAGTATTTACTTTATAATAACAAATCAAAATTTGTATATGATGCATGTTTTAAAGATGACGATCAGTTAATTCGCAATTAGTATGTACGGGTGTTGTATTTATACGATAAATACTTACTTTAAAAATTTTAAATTCCGATGCGTACAGCCCGTATAGTACTATCGAACCCAACACATTAGTCACTAGAACACCTCTTTCTGCAGGTTACATTGCACAGGTAAAATGTTGTTGCAACATCTCCATATGAAGTGTCTGATTTTACTCAACACCTGCAAATTCCAACATCTTTTCCTAGCTTTCAAGTTCCCTGCAGCAGTGACACTATTCTCAGCAGCAGTGATATTACAAATTTTTTGATTTGAGCAGCATAGTGTATACTGCCTTGACACTGAAAATTCCTTTCTTGGCAAAAGAACAATCCACAAATCATCAGTCAATGGATTTAAACCCTTAATCTTCAAAATCTCATCAGCATCATCCTGTTTGAATAGAGCTCTAACCAATCTGTCATCCCACCTTTTTCCACCATCACACATCAGATCTCTCACCTGAAAGTTATAAGCATCAATTTCAACAACTAATTCTGGTTTCCTGCCCCTGAGCCCAGGAACTCAGTGGTGATCATTCAACCGAGTGGAGAGACCATTTTTAATGGATATTTTAATGACATTTCAAGATAGGAATAAGGGTAGCCCATGAGTTCCAGAGCCAAGATGCTCCTTGTATCTGTCTGTAATCAAACAAGGAATTTGAAGGGAAATATCTATTCTTGATCACTTGACTGACCAACAACTCCTGCTGAGAAGCTATTCTCCATACCTGTTTGATAATAAGAGCTTTATTGAACACCAATATATCATGAAACCCAAGGCCTCCTTCAGATTTAGGTAAAGATAGTTTATCCCAAGCCTTTCAATGAATCTCAGAATTGTGGACTTCACCTTTGCACCACCAGAACTGAGCTATTAGCCTACACACTTCTTTGCACACACCAGTAGGCAATAAGAAACAGGACATGAAAAATACAGGCAGAGCACAAAGTACTGCTTTAATTAGCACTTCTCTGCCAGCAATAAACAGAAATTTATTTTTCCAGCTCCCTATCTTGTTTCTCACAGCCTCAATCACAAATTGAAATGTCTCCTTTTTAGATCCACATATACCCAAAGGCAGCCCCAGGTATTTTGAAGATCTTTTAACAACCACACCTCTCAGCATAGAACATAACTGAACCTTAACTGAATCAGAGCAGTTTTTACTCAAAAACAAAGAAGATTTCCTCAGATTTACTCTCTGACCTGTGAAAGCATGATATTTATCCAACATATCCAGAATAGACAAAATATGATCTGTATCAGCTTTACAGAAGACCAATGCATCATCAGCAAAAAACAAATGGGAGATCATTGGCCCATTATGAGAAATCTTCACCCCTCTAAAATTTCCAGAATTCACTTTGTGAGCCAAAAGAGCAGAGAAAGCTTCAGAGACTATAAGGAAAAAATAGGGTGATAGTGGATAACTCTGTCTAATTCCCCTAGTTGGAGTCACAAAACCATCCACTTTCCCATTAATATTGAAAGAAAAAGAGGAAGAAACAACACAAGCCATAATTCATTTCACAAACACTGAGTGAAATCCCATTTTGAGCATGATTCCCCTAATACTCTCCCATTCAACTCGATCATAAGCCTTTTCCATGTCCAATTTCAATTCCAGAAACATGTTTGTACCAGATCTATGTCTGCTTAAGAAGTAGAAAACTTCATGTGCAATAACTACATTGTCTAATAACTGTCTGCCTGGTACAAATGCATTTTGGACAGGACTGAGACAATCATTTAGACATAGCTTCAGCCTACTAGCAACAATTTTATATAACACACCACACAAACTTATAGGTTTGTAATTATTAAGAGATTCAGGGTACAGACACTTTGGAATCAAGGTCACCACAGTATGATTCCAGTTTCTCAACAACTGTCCAGACATAAAAAACTTTTAATAGCAGTAACAACCTCTCCATGAATGATATGCCAGAAATGTTGGACAAAAATAGCAGACATACCATCTTCTCCTGGTGATTTTTCTGGTGCCAAGCTGAAAACTGCTTCTTTGATCTCCTCCTCCTCCACATTTTTAATAAGAGAATTATTTAACTCATCAGAAATGGTGTGAGGAATGCATTGAAGAATATCTCTCCCTCCATGTGAACCCTCTGAGGAGAGTAAAGAAGAATAAAAATCAGCCACATGGTTGACAATAGCAGTCTCCCCAACCATTTTTGCTCCATTCTCTGTCTTTAAGCAATGAATGTTGTTGATTCTCCTTCTCTGTGTGGTAGAAGCATGAAAAAATCTCGAGTTGTTGTCCCCTGCCTTTAACCAAAGAGCTCTGGATTTTAATCTCCAGAATTCTTCCTCTTCTCTATATGCATTATCCAACTCTGTCTTAGTAACCTCCCAGTTCTCCCAATTTATGTCACCCCCCTCACTTCTCATCTGCTCCATTTTGGCATTTAGAGTCTGAATCAACATTTCCCCATTCCTCTTCACCGGCTTACTCCATGCTAATAAAGACATCCTAGTGCGTTTTAGTCTCTGCTGCACCTGATACATGGGAGTCCCATCCCTATCCACTTTCCAGCCTTCTGTTACTGCAAGTTCCACTGCTTCCATTTTAATCCATCGACTATCAAACATAAATCTCTTCTTTTTGTCCACCAATTCCTTATCTATGTCTATCAAAATGACATTATGGTCTGAAGCACTTCTGAAAAAGTTTGAAACTTCCATATTTGGGAAAGCTCTGTTTCAACCAAGAGAGGCATACACCTTATCCAATCTTTCCTCAATATACCCTTCTTCAGCTCCTTCTGATCAATTTCTATCATTTCCATATGCATGATGAACTCTTTAAAACCCACAAAACTGGCCTCTGGTCTTCTTCTGCCCCC